CATCACTGGGTTCATTTAATTTAACCTTTGATTTTGACATTACTATGTTTTATGGCTCTCAGAATATGGTTTATAGTATCAAAGGAAAAGAAAATTGTTTTTTATTAAAAAAATAAGGCACCAGTAAAAGTTTACTGCGCCAGCAAAAGGGAGAAGAAAGTTTTTTTTCTATATGATTATCAACTTTCTAGATCTATAATCTATATATAGAGAGGGAGGATCGGGGCTATGATCATAAATTCCCAGATAACACCAATATTAGCAAATTGTCGAATAACTGTAATTTGACTCAACCAGGCAAATGATTGTCTGACACGTGCCACTGCACGTGTCAGCCAATCATTTGTCTGGTTGAGCCAAATTACCATTATTCGACAATTTTTGCCCAATATTGTATACATATGAGGAAATTTGTCTCTCGATATGCACCCGATATCCATTGATTCAACCTGTATAATCATATTAATTTCTATAATAATCAACTAAATCAGCCGGGTTAATTTGCACTACATCACAAAGTACATTTTTTTATAAAATTTACGTGGTCCTATAAAGTTATATAAATGTTATATAAAATTTTTACAAACCCAATGCAGCATTGTAGACTTATATAGTTAAAATTTTTAGATATTATTTATGTATGATTTAATTATTATTTATATAAATATAAAATTTATGTAAACTTTATCGGTTATTCATATTACATAAAATAATTTAATTTACTTTAGCTATTTCTCAAAAGTACTAAGGTAATCAGTGTTCGATATACTAAGTAAAAATATTCAGCATGCCCGAAAACCTTCCCAACCCCCTAATTTAAACTTTAAAACCTAATTCTAGCTTTAATATTCAAGTTAAAAGCTTTTGCAACTTTACATAAATCTATATATAAATATATATAGATTTATATAAATGACTATGTAAATCTACATTGGGTTTATAAGTTTAAATAAAAATTCTACATAACTTTATGTAAAAATTTTATATAGATCTATGTAAAATGTATTTCCTGATGCAGTTTAAATCAAAAATATCAGTATCTGATATATAACTTATATGTAACTTATATGTAACCTAAAGCTAACTTATATTGGCTTATTGAAAATTATAAAATTTAGGCTAGCTTTAGGTTACATATAAGTTACGTATAAGGTACATATCAGATATCGATATTTTACTGATATTTTAGATTTCAACTAGTGTAGGTCATTTAAAGTAACCCGATTTATGATTTGGTAACGATTTTTTAAACAAGTAAGTAATCCAGTAGTATTTAAATGAACCTGAACATGTTCATGAACTTTAACTGAACTCAGAATGTTCCGAGTTCAAGCTCAGTTCTTGTTTATAAGTCCTAAGTTCGGTCAGGTTCAATATCAAAGATCTACAAATTTTAATGTCAGTTCTGGTTCAGTTGAACTTGAACCCGAACCTAATTAAATCGAGCTTGAACTTCGGAAAACTAATTCTAACTTATAAAAAAACTATTATATAACAATTTTATAGCATTTAATTTATTTTGTTCTTTTAAGTTAATTTTTTTCAAAAATTTTATAATACTTTATTAGTAATATTAAGCATTATTCCAAAATTTTTTTTTCAAAACCTTGCATTTGTCTTAATTTTGTAATTATATTTTAATAATTAGAAAAATAAAGTAAATAGCAAAAAAAAATTACTTAAAACTAGATTGACAGATTTGGTTTTGTAGCAAAATAAGATGCAAAACTTGCAGGCTTGTAGCAGTCAATTATGAAATGTCCATTGTGTTTTGGAACATAATGCTAAAAGATAATAATGGTACAATAATATAAATAATTATTTAATTTAATGAATTACAATAAACTATAACAAATGAAGTATGGATATGGGTATGCATTCTATGATACTTTAAATAATTTGAATAATAATAAAAGCTAAACTAATTAATTCAATTATAAAATTGAATCCAGTTAATTTATTTTGTAAAGAACTTGATGCAGAACTAACATTAGAAGACTGTGTTGGTGTTATAGCACTAGTTGCGCTTCCAGTATTAATGCTTGATATTTAAAATAAATTATTGTAAATCGTTAGTATCTCGCTTTCACATGAAATATATTAAATTATAAAAGAAAGTTACCTAGTATTACTTGAGGATGGTAATAATGTTGATGATTTCGATGAAGTTGTTGATAATGATGTTGTTTGTTGTGACGGTATTGATGAAAATGTTTGTATTTGCGGTTGCGTTTGTGGTTTTGTTTGCGGTTGCGGTTGTGTTTGCGGTAGTGATGGTGGTTGTGGTGGTGGCTGTGGCTGTGTTTGTGGTGGTGGTGGCGGTGGTTGTGTTAATTGAAGAGTTTTGTTATAATATAGACTATGAAAATAAAATTAAAAAAATCAATTTGAAAAAGGTCCTTGAAGATCAACTTTCAAGATTCATATATGCTATGAAGAAAAAAAATGGTAGTAAATATTATGTTTTCTTGATTTATAATTGTATGGCCACTATTTGGTGGCATTTAAATCAGCATTTAGTAATAACAAAGCCCATAGAAATTTTAACTCCAAGGTGTATTTTGATTTAAATACTATTGTTAATAGTAAAATCAAATTTTATTAGCAAAGAGTCTAGGTAAAAGTGCCAGATCAGATGGGTTGATCTTGCAAGAAATTGAGCAGATTATTTCCTATTATACTATATAGCACAATAATACAGAAAGACTTTTGCAGTGTATTTTTTTTTATAATTTAATTTTTTTGACTTTGCAGGATAGTAAACATTATGATCTTCAGATAGATAACTTTGTAAAAAGGTTTAAAGGAGGAATTGATGTGAAATTGTATTAATTGAAAATGAATTAGCAAGAATTTGGGATTATACTAAGCAAGCTAAAGTTATTAGTTTATTAAATATTAAATATATAATTGATAACTATAAATTCTATTCTGTTAAGCATCTAGTCACAAAGATAAAAAGTTTCTATTTGAAACTAGATCTGGCAAATACTGGTAAATATTTGTTTTAATTTGGGATTTTTTGATTTATTTGTATTACTATTTTTTATTTTTCTGTTGAGTTTAGTAATAAATAGTTTTACTATCAAGCAATAAGTAAAAAAAAATTAAAAACCTATTTTTAAGATATTTGTGAATCTGCAAATATACAATTTGGCAGTTGTAGTATATCCAACTATTCAGATTAAAAAACTGCAGTTCAAGTATTGAAGGAACTTAGATATTCTGATGCTGTGGTTTTGTTTGCGGTTGCGGTTGTGTTTGCGGTAGTGATGGTGGTTGTGGTGGTGGCTGTGGCTGTGTTTGTGG